CTTAACATGTTACAAAAACATAACAATTATTTAACCACAGTTTTTAACCTCTGATTCCAGTGGTCATGTAGCCTTTCTAATCTAATTACCAAAAATGAAATGCAAAAATATTTAAATATTGGAGCCAGCAGTAAAGTTTAGAGGCATAATACTGAATTAAAAAGCTGTGCTTTTTCAGAAGGTTATGATAATTGTATCTTCAGTCCTAGCCTGCCATAGTCTTACTGATTTATTTAGTGTTTGCTGTAGTCTGCTGTGTCATGGATTTATGTTTTTCCTGCATAATTTTCTCTTTGTAAGTAGTCTGAAAATGTTACTGCAGATCTTTTCTCTATGTGAACTTAATTTAGCCATAAAGTTAGGAAATACTAAAATGCTGTCTCATAATCTTGAAGTGTCTCATAAGCATGAAATGTCCTCGCTTGTGACATCGAAAATAGGAACTTTAAATCCCATCAAATTATTTTTATTGCAGATGACAGCTTTCATCTGCTGGATTTTGCTGCCAGAATAAGCATATTTGAGTAAGCACAAACAGACTTTAGGGGAGTGCCCTCTTCTTCAGCTGTGCCGTTTCCAGTAGCTCCCATTCCCTCCCCAGGTGGGATGTAGAGAAGATCCACCTTTCTGGCACCCCTGCATGCAAACAGCCCCTGCCACCGGTGAGGCTTGACGGATGGCATTCTGCTCTAATAAAAAATACCCTGCTCAAAGCAGAGAGCTCTGTGTGCGTCACTGGAGCTATTTCAGTCTTTGCTGCCTCCTGAGCTGCATGTAAGCCGACATCGGTGACTCTCGGCTCAAATATGATTTCGTAAAAGGAAGTAGGAAGCATGACTTTCAAGCTGTGTGTGAAGATGAGCTAAAATAGTAACAGAAGTCTCTCTAGAGAGTATGAGAAGACCAAAAAAAATCTCTCTTAAGCATACCTATTGTTAAGAAAAGATCAGTCTGGCAGACTCTGTTTTGTACCGGCTTAGCATGTTAAACGCTCCTTCCTTTAACCCTGGCATTACTGTAGCAAAGATACTAGGTAGCTGTAAGGAGCAAGGGGAAACTTCCTCTGCTGATTTCACCATGGAGTCTGGGTCATTAGGAAGACCAGACCTGAGCTTGGAGAGCCCAATTTCCACGTGGTGCCTTTGTAGCCTGCCTGGAGGGTGCAAGCCACAAGGTTAGCAGTGGTGATGCTCGGCCTGAGGGAGCATCTCTTTGCTGGGGTTTCTAATGGGAGGGTGTGCATTAGGGCTGGACGCCACTGGTTTTGATTGCTGCTGGCTGTGGGTTTGGTGAGGCGGCCCCTTAGAGGGCAAGGACGGGCATCCTTAATGGCCGAGCATATTTCCAGGTATTCTTTGGAAATACGTAGTATTTCCATGTGTTTCTGAGTGTGCTCAGATCAAACCACTGACTCAGATTCTGAGAAATTTTGCAGCTTGACTTCAGAATTAATATTCTGGTTGACCTCTTGTCTCTCAAACATAGAGAGATTCTGAYATCAGGTGCCATATGGATTTGAAACATCTWGAGTCTCATTGTACTGGTGTTGTAMTCAGCTTATTGACTAAAATTTGAATGTCTTCTTTTCTCCTAGTGTCTTTCTGTTTTTCCACATCCTACATTTTGTCCAGAGTGTTTTGTATAGCACCTAGCACAGTGAGGKGCTCGTGCGAGACGCGAGCCTCAGGTGTTACCTCACTAGAAARCAGGCGATCATGGCAGCAACATTATCTGCTGCAGTAAAGTAACATAACTGCTGTCTTYACCTGAAAGGAAGCTTTCTGTCCTCCTATCCCTTCTTCAAATCTGCAGTGGTTAAAAGCTGCTCTTTTAGACCATTGAGAGTTATAATCTGAAACTACAGTCATTTCCATTTGTAATACCATCTCATTTTCCTTGCACTGCTGTATTAAATACTTGTTAGATACTTGTTAAATATTTATTAAATACTTATTAAAGTACTTGTGGTCCATTATAGACTTTAATGTAATTTATTCATTAATATATGGTCACTGTGTCATCTTCTTCTTACTGTGAGGATGGTTAAGTGCTGGTTAAGGTTGTTGCACTTGGAGGTGTTCAAGACTCAACTAGACACAACCTGAGCAACATGACCTACCTATGGTCCTTGCAAGCTCTATCAAGGATAGGACTAGGTGACTCGAATGGCCATTCAGCCTAAAGTATTCTGTGAGTTTCTCTTGCTRCCCTACCAGAATTGTTCGGTACATGGCACGCACAAGAATCAGGAAGCCCCTCTTCTTGCTCAGAAGTCACTGACTGATGCTTCTAGTGGCAGCCCTTGGTTTACTCTAATTTGCTTTTGGGCCATCTGCAAATTATCATCTCCATTCTTCCTTAGCAGTGAGATTGCTGAGCAGATAATATCGTAAAGGTTGAACAATTACTTACAYATATGATTTTTTTTAATCAGCAAACTTGAATTTTCTATTCTTTGTTTAAACAGCTTTTATCATAGTGTGTGTTTCATAACATTGTAAACTTCTCCGAAAGAATCAAAAGAATTGCTCACAAAAAAACTGGTAATTTGCAAAAACAATTGGGTTTTAAACTTCTTTTGCTTTATATAGTTAACTTTCAGTCATCAACAGAGTAAAGCAAAGCTACAGATGTTACTAGGTGATCACCTTGTTACTGATTTTTGTCCTGTGTGGGGTATTAACAWTGCTTATGACACAAACAGAAAGTGTGGGCTGCTCTGTGCGTACTATGCTATATGTAGGTCATTATTTGACGTATTTATTCCCTACCAAGAGTACTAATGAAAAAATCAAGAATAGTATCATCTTACCTATTCTGAAGAACATTGTCTGTTATTTTAAGCTTTGATGTGTACAGACCTGGTAGTGTTTGAGAGAGACCCATTACCCATTCATTACCCAAGAGAAAAATAATTCCTTGCTTTCAGGATGTAGTTGCAGGCATCTGCAAAACAAGGACATGATGAATGATRTGTAGCATAAAGTATAAATAGTGAGGGAGGAGACATGCTTTGAGACACATTCTCTGAACTTGAATACAAATGCCAACTTCGACAAGCACTTCATCAAAATGATAGTTGAAGTCATTTTCTGAGTCAGTTCTTGACTTGGCATTATCTTCATAATAGATACGTTCTGRTTAGGAGTCCAGTTGCATGTGAACTAAGGTAAATACAGTGCAATTCTGCTGTCAGAATGACTTAATAAAGTGAGAAGTGAGAAAAGATCAGAGGCAACAGATCCTCGTCACCCAGAGTTGAAGAAAGTAAGGGCTTCCTTAACTCCTGCTTGCATTTCTTCAACCCTAAGGTTGGTGTTTCATGTAGGACAGTCTCAGGAGTAAGCAGAACTAGTTTGGAGGATGCTCTGATCTGTTTTGCTATATTCTTCTGATGGCGGATGGGGAATAGACATATCTTGATTAKTCCCCTTTTATCAAGCAGTGTTCCCAAAATTAGTGGCCATGAGGGAGGTGACCTGTTCTGCGAGCATATTCTGTGTCAGAAAATTTGCCTGCTTGGATAGGATCCCCAGGGACTGCATTCACTAGGTTTATGTCAAAAAAAAAAAAAAAAAAAAAAAAAAAAAAAAAAAAAAAAGATTTCTGATTTCTGATGTGTTTCAAGTATAGTACTAGAAAACAGATTCTATGATTCTATTATTTTGTCCTGCTTTGGATGATATGTTCAGCCAAGTAGGTGTAAATAATACTTGTTTAAACAGCTAATTGCATGAGAGCGCTATTGTGGAAATGCTGTTTGGAGTATCGAAAACATGTTTTTCATAAACACACAAGTGAGAGAGTATAAATAGCATCATACCACAAGTAGTATTGACTTAGTAGTGAGGGAATACATGAAGATGTATAAAGTGAATATAACCTGCAAAATGAGAAGAAGAAATAATACACACACACACACACACACACAACAAAAAAAGTTTTGTCTTCCTACTGGCACTTTAATTTATGTCCATATCCAGAAGTCTGGAGACAGAGTTTCTCTTAAGGATGAGTGAATATAGTTTTGCTGAGTTTAAATCAGAATTAGTACTTGGTTCACAAAAAGTCTCAAGCTGGGATGTGTTACCTTCTGCCCTCATGGCATGATGATGTTCCGAGACAAGTTTTTTTTCTCCTTGTGAAGTTACTTTGTCTGTTGAGTGATGTGATTTTGCAGGAAAAGAAGTGAAAATAAGGTGCAAATYTTGATTCTGAAGATTTTCAAAATACACTGTTTTTCATAGGAGAGATAACATTGAAAACTGTTTAACATCTGGAAGCATCTATCCTTATAGTTAAGACTGCAGATTAACTGAGCACTAAACTGCCATCACATTTTCTTGGGGATTTACAGAATGAACAGAAAGTGCTTAACTGTTTTTAGCCAGTCTAAGTTTAGAACTGTAGTGTATGTAAGCAAAAGCTAGATATATTAAAAAATATGCATATGTTTAAATTAAAAGAGATTTTTTTTGACATAAGGTCCTTTGAACTTCCTAGAAAGGTAGGGAATTACATAGCAACTAGATCTTTTACTTCAGGCCTTCTTAGTTCAAGAAAATAAATCTACTCAATTTTATAGTTCTATAGAACTTTTAAAATAATATCAATGTGAATATGTTAGTATTTAGCTTTTATAGTTTCAAATGTATATTATGACTAATTTTTATTATGATTAATTATATAGCTAATATAATGGCAATTGTATCTCCTTTCCTACTGTTATATTACGGTATCTAATACATTCTGTTTCTATGTATATCTGTWTAGAAAGTAGCTAAAGATTCTGCCTTTTTCTAAAAAAACAACAACAAAAAATCTGTTCAGCATTTCATAGTGATTATTTTGATAACATTAAATTAAGGAAGATTTTTACCTGCTACTTTAAAAGAAAAAAAAAAAAAAAAAAAGGGAAGGAAGGAATTCGAAGGAAATTTGAAGTTTTAGGGTTTCCTTTTCTTTTTCCTCTTAGTCAGGCGTTGCTCTCTCACAGGAAATTTTAGATTACTTTGGAGAACTATGTCAAGGACGTTATCTTGCTGAAGTTTGTTGTGATGCAGAGGATGGCGTGAAGTGTTTCGTCAGCCTGGAGTCCTTCATCCACAGCTACTGTTAGTTGTAGGTCAAAATACTCCAAACTTTTTTTTATCTGAGGGGATAAAAATATTAGAWAATGGATAAGCAAGAATGTTATCTAATCTATCTGTTTGGAAAAGATTCTTTCCTTGCATATTTACAGTGAGAGTTAACTGTGCTTTACAAGAAAATAATTCTCACAGTGAATAATATATTTAATGTTGAACCTCCTATTTAATACTTCAGCAATTTAATGCATGCTGATACCTCTGTTTTGTGTAGTGTGTGTAGTGTTGATATAAGTTGTCAGCTCTGTTAGTCTGTGTTTTAAATTCAGGAAAGTCACATTTTGGGATATGAATACTAAAACCAATACTTTATGCTAACTTATATTATGTCAATGAATAGATTTAACATCACTGATTGCAGTGACTTTTTCTTTGTTTTAGCCCAGTTCACATGGAATCACAGAATGGTTGAGGTTGGAAGGGACCTCTAGGGATCATCTAGTCCAAGCCCCTGCTCCAGCAGGGACACCCAGAGCAYGGGGCACAGGGCGGCATCCAGGCGGGTTTGGAAGATCTCCAGAGAAGGAGACTCCACAGCCTCCCTGGGCAGCCTGKGCCAGAGCTCTGKCACCYKCACAGGARAGAAGYTCYTSYTCACATGGAGATGGAACTGCCTGTGTTTTTATAATGATTGACTATTTTTAATATATGATAACTGAGTTGTAAAAACGGAGAAAGAAGCTGAGAAGTTGTGTCAGATACATTGTTCGGTACTCTGCTGCCCTTCTTCTGCTTAATGATGAGGTGAACCATGAGACTTGTTAAGGGACGTGTGTCTGGTTTTACACACCTTTCCCTCATCCTGGAGTCCAGAATTTGTGTTCGGTGCCTACACTCCTACTGGCATTGCATTGGAAGAGTTGAGATTAGTAGGAAAGGTTGAGATTACTAGAACCGAGCTGTTGGGTTGTAACTGCTTTGTTTCTATATTATAGTGGCTATCATCCTCTCATGCAGGATGACAGTTAATAAAAGCTGGCAGTAAACTCATCTAAGCCTCTTGTTATTCATATTTTGCTACATGCTCTTTCTGTCAGATGAATTTCAGATCAGAATTGCTTTTCAGGTGTTTCTGTATTTTTTAAAATAATTCCTGGGTTGGACTTTATTCTGTTGCATAAAGCAAATGTAATCTAGTAGTCCATTATTCCTTCTATTTTTTGAGCATGGTTTCCAGCATGTAACAATGGTAGAATTTTACATTGAAAAAAAATTACTAGTAATTTATTTTATTATTATCTTTCATGTAGTTTCTATATTTGTTAGTAAAAAAGACAATCAAGTATTTGATATATGATATTCTACTTGGAGCTAAATACTAGGAAAGATTTTGAATTCTTGGGATGAATTATTTTAAAATTTGGGAGACAGAAAAAACAGGTAGTAGGCGACAACCATAGTATTCGTGACATTGTTTGTAAGAGGGCACCAAGAAATAAATGCATAAGAAAAATCACAAGTTAAGAGAAACACATCAAGTAACAAATATTTGGAGAAAATATGAAAGAAGTACTTGGTACAGTAAGAAGTGCTGGGTAATATGTCTGAACAATAAACTTACAATACACAAATGCCCAATTCAGAGTTTTAAATTATTTCCATGTGCTTTTTTGAATGTGTATTTCCAAAAGAAATGTACTTGTTCCTTGTTTGATTTGTCCCCTTACCAGGAATTCTTAAAATATTAAGTACGGATAAGAAGTTACAAAGGCTGAAAGAAAGAGCAAGATAGAACCATTTTCAGCTCTCTGGCTCTATGTGGTTTGCTATTTGTAACTCTTAGCAAATGTGGGAACTTGGAAAATTTATTCTTAACTTGTTGCTGATGCAGAAAGTTGTGATTTGTTATGCTTGCAAGCTGTCTTGGGCTGGTGAAAGTGTTACTCCTATGTATAGGAAAAAAACAAATCCAAATACAGTCCCAAGTGAACAGTTTGACTTCAGGAGGTCAAGCCACAGAATATGTAAAGACAGGCTGGCTAAGTCTGGTTTTAGGCTATTAACTAATGTGACACCTTTGGAAAAGCATGTCTCCAAGAAGCTCCTTTCTGGGAAAAAAAAGAGAAATATCAGGAAGTTGTACTGTGCAGATCAGCTTTTAAACCGTTAATGTTTTCAATATATAACTTGGCYTCTGTGACTTTTAAACGTTAAGTTGGAAAGTTGGGGAATGTGTAATGCAGTAGTTATAGCCAGATTTTGCAACCTTAAATAYATTCAGTTATATTTAATTTTTAAATCTGCTGCATGCTTTCCAGTTTTAATAAGTACCTGTTAAAATGGTACAAATTTCAGTTTTTAAAGCTCTTCCTACCCAATGTTTCCATTTTTTTTGCGGATTCTGGAGGAATAACAAACTGAGAGTGCTGTATGCTATGGAATAAAGGTTTTTTGGATGCATTCTGGTTGCATCACYAAGGAAAAAGGCAGCACTCGGGGTGTAGGGTGTGGGCTGAGCTGGGCAGCAGCCTTTTCTGTGTGCTTAATCTGTACCTGTGCAGAAAGGTTTTCAGCACTGGTGCCCCTTGAAAGGAAAAGGTCTGCAGGAGCCTGGCAGGATGGACCCACAACATGTTTTGGCAAAGAATACATTTAACATGTATGGCCTTTGCTCTCTTTCCACAGTATTTAGTGATTTTAGGTGCTTCAGTTTCTGTATATAGTTTCTGGTAACTTTTGAAGACTTTGACCTTCAGAATGAGCATGATGTGTGTTCACAAGCTTTACTGATGATTCAGTTGCTTCGGAACAAAATGTCAGCCGTTTTCCTCAAGTGAATTTGCTTTTCTGTTGTCAACAAATATTTTGAGAATATCAAGCCACGTGTTGGCAGGATTCTTTGTTGTTTTTATGTTTTTAAGAGGATAGCTTTCAGAAATCAGACCTTGTATGTACGTGCATTTATGTGCATGTTTGCAAGTGAAATCTTCACCCTATTAATTCTTTGCTTTGCAGACCAAACCTGTTGCGTTTGCAGTTCGGACAAATGTTGGCTACAGCGCAGCTCACGATGATGATGTTCCGGTCCCAGGCATGGCCATCTCATTTGAAGCTAAAGATTTTCTTCACGTTAAAGAAGTAAGTAAAATCAAAAGCGTAAGTAAATCTTTCTTTAAGAGCCACCACACTTTGAGTAAAAGAAGTGCCATCACTTTTTAATCATTAAGATAACATTTTGCTTTGTCCAAGCACTATACAAATATTCTATGCATAAGATAATTGTATATAAGCAATTCCATGCTCTCTGAAATAGCGTTCTCATTACAAACAATGACATAAATTCTTTACAGTCAAATTATCCCTTACTTTGAGATTTTAAAATCTATACCTCCATATTCAATAATATAGTATCTATGGATTTCACCATTCTAACACTCCGAGAGTTTCACTGTGCTTCAACAGCCAGTGGTTCATTCTCCTCCTCTATACTTGTACTACCTATACGTGTACTAAAGAAAAATAAAGCCCAGTATTTTCAGGCCTCCCTTTTCTCARAAGTTTCCTTGAAGCATGCAATATTTTATTATTAACAATTACATATTGAGAAGTAAATGTGGTAAGTTTAAGGATGAACACAGCAACTATCTGAGAAGGCATCAGTGTTCGCTATGTTTCTTTTCCTGTAGTTTCACTTGGAAAAAAATGAAGTTTTACAGAATTTCAAATATGTAAACCCTCACTCTTCAGCTCTTCCTTGGAAGATGGTCCAAAGCAAGTCATGTGGTGACTTTCCCATGTTACCCTTCCTAAGCAACCTACTGCTCTTTTATGAATGATTCCCTCATTTTAGGAGCTTTCCTTGCTTCTTGTCCTCCGTTCTGTTTTGTCATAAAATGGTCCATCCAGAAATGGAGAGCTATTGCAGAAGAGCTAGAAAGTCAGCATAAAAGGAYTGGAACAACCCCTACACTTGAAATTAAAATCCTTTTTAAAATCCTTTTCCCTTTTTTTTAAAAATCCTTTTCCCATTTTTCCCAAGTCATGCAATTTTTGGTTGTTGTATAGGAAGAGCCTTGATTCATGAAATCTACTAGTATAGTCATTAGATATTTCCTTTAAAAAGGTAAAAATGCAGGTGGGCAGAAACTAAGGAAACACAAGAAGAGGATTTTTAGTAACTTAAAACTGATGATTAATAATCTTTTTTTTTAAATACATATAAACACACAAAAACATAGTAATTTAGATTCAAACTCTATGCAGTGAAGATTTGACAGTGATTAAGAATTGTTYTGTTCTGTATTGTGACAAAAATAGGAATGTTCTTTGTTGAATCTGGAAGTACTGAACAATATAGCTCAGTTTGGTTATATTAAGGAGTTTTGCTAGGCCATCCATCTCATTTCCATTTTAAACAAGCTGGTAATTTCAGACTTCATATGAAGTCTTACCCCTGTTTCCATATGGGCTTTAAACCCAAGTTTTCTACTACAATTTCTGCTTTATTTTTTCCCTCTTCTACTTAGACTAAAGTTTAGAAATGCACAGAAGATACTAAGGAGGAAATTTTTTCCTGAATCTTCAGAAGTGTTTTGAATATGAARCTTAGCTCAGCTGAGGTGTTACTTTGTCTGTGATTCCAGTGCTAGGGAATGCAAAAAAATGAGATCAAAATAATTTTATTTATGTAACATGTATCCTTTATGTGGAGTAGGGCAGGTACTGTACACTAAATACTTTWAAAAAAATAAATCTGTTTTTATTTCCAAGCAGTTAAGGCACAGATGAATTTCTAGCAGCGATAGGTGCTGTAGGCGGGTTCCTGGTGTCAGGCTCAGAGGGGAGTTAAGCAGAAGGTGAGCAGCTGGATGGGAGCTGCAGGACAGAGCCCAGGGGCATCCAAGTGGCAGCTCTGTTGGTATTTGAGTGGTGGCTCCTGGTTACTCCTGGGCAGGATGAACCTCTTCAGGGGATACCTGGGGCAGTGGCTGTCCCTGTGTACCCTGATCCTCCCCATCTGTGACTGCCTCAGCCTGCCGTGATCCTCCAGGGCTCTCAACTGACCAAGTAGGCAGTCTCATCTCCCAGGCATTGCTCCATCAGTATTTATAGTACTTTCTAATGCTGGGAGAAGTGAAATTTCCAAAATGAAATCCATTATGCAGGTTAAAAGTGAAAAATCATGATTGGCTGTAATATTCCACATTGTTTTTCCATTGTTTTGGGGGAACAAGCAAATATAATCTCCTGTAATGTATACCATCATGATAATGCCATATTAGATCAATGCTGTCCTTGTCTATGGGGAGAGTTTGCCAATTTGTGCTGCTGTGAGAGCTCAAGCAATAAAAAAAAAATCAATATAAAATGTACGTGGCCAATGATGAAGAGTACTGCAATGGTTGAATGAGAGGGAAATTTGTCTTCATTACTAGGTTAAATTCATTAACGCTCAGTAAATACAAAGATTAAGGATCCTTTCCTGCGTGAAGAAACATATACTGCATCATAGTCATTCCTGGATCTTTAAGGATTTTAWTGCATGTCCATAATTCTGCCTTGCAATGAATTCCTACTTGTGTTTTACTTGGCACCCCAAACAAAAATGACTTCAAAGAGAATCCTCACTCCATCCCACACTTCTGGACACATCTAGCTACCAAGATTTCTGCTAAAGTTTTTGAAAATCAGGAAATACTACTGGTATTATTTTATGAGTAAAATTTCCATCCTCATTTTCATATATTGTGTAGCAGTACTCTTTGGTACTTCTAAGGAGTAAATTCCATAGGCTTTTATTTTGGAATGAAGAAAAATTTCCTTTGGGTTTAATCTATTTACCAAATAAAAATCAATTAAAATAATTTTGATGAGTATCAGGCTGTTGTACTATAGGACAGTATAAGAAATAATGACTGTTCAGTTTTTAATTTACTGTTGGTTGTTAATTAGCTCTCCCTTTTATCAAGCCAAGTAAGGGTTTTGTAAACTTCACTTATAACATAGAGCAGATATATAATGGCAGCCTCCATTTACATTTTAAATATATATAAGTACCTTTAATTCATATTTTGTTAAAAAAGGTTGAGTTTCAAGATATTTAAATGTAACGCAATTTTGAGAATTTACTCTTTGGGAATTGCTTTCTATTAGATGTATTAATTGTTGGTATTCTCACTCATAAAGATAGGAGCCCCCTGGATGGAAGAGATGTGATGTAACCAATTATATTTCGTGAAATTAAAATTGTTTATTTTAATCGTTTTTAGCTAAATATCCTAAAATCTACTTCAAGCATTGCAACATTTCTATAGTAGTCAAAATGAAAGATAATACTGTAATTTAGGTTGCATATCATTGATCCGCTATGTATTCTCAGTGAAATTAATTCTCTTTTATTGTTTTTACTCCTACACTAGTTAAAATTGCTAATTAAACAATTAAATTAAACATTTTTCCGTTCATCTCTTCAGATTCAAGAAGGCAAGTTTGCTCTGAATTCAAATGTTCCTTTACAGTTTAATAAATTATCCACATTATACAAAAGTTGTATTTGATGGTAGTTGGTCCCCATGGAATTCCTATTCTAGGCCAAGATTGATGTAGGATTGATGTAGGAAATAATAGCGGGGAAAAAAAACCCTACCCTTCCAGATAAAACACAGACAATTCTGCTATTCAGACCTGTGCCAAACAACAACAATAAAAACCCGGACTGTGGTGAGAATCTCATAAATCGGTACAGCTGGGATTAACTGAAACTTCTTGTATATTTGTAAATTTGGATATTTTTAGTTGTCCAAAGATATCCATTCCTTATGGATCTGTCAGTATATGGTAAGGATCAAATGGATCACATGAGCTGTATGTAATAAAAAAAAAATACATAAAAATTGGAATGGTGCCTGTATTTCAGAACAGATTAGTTAATCTGGAGAAACTGGAGACTTTAAGAAGTAATATTTTTATTTTAAATAGCTAAGTGAATATAAAGGAATAAGAGAAATATGTTATAGCAGAGATGTGAAAATCATTGCAGAAGACAGGAAAAACAACAGACCAGAGGAGATCTCTGTTGACTTCTCATCATCTCTAGTGTATGAAAAGTCAAGACTGCAAAGCAGAAAGGAATAAAGTTGAAATGAGGAGAAATAACAGTCAGGGAAAATCATGAAGTCTGTGAAGAAGAGTTCTCTGCTTAAGTACTGTGGAATTTTAATAGTTTGCAAGGTATAATTATTTTAATATATTTCTGAAAACTACCAGGATTCTTCATTTCCATAATTGTATAGTACAGTGACTAACTGCAGGGAAGGAATTACATAAAATGAATTAGCTTCAAATTAAAAATAATAACAGAATGATCTAAAATTCACTAATTGCTTAGTACATGACTTTTCCTTCTTTTTTTCCTTCAGAAATTTAATAATGACTGGTGGATAGGACGATTGGTAAAAGAAGGCTGTGAAATAGGATTCATACCAAGCCCGGTCAAACTAGAAAACATGAGGCTGCAGCATGAACAAAAGGCAAAACAAGGAAAATTCTACTCCAGGTAATAACAACARGCATTTAAAAGCAGTAGCATTGACTGTGACATGCATCTTGGGCATCAGTGCTATGTGTGTTATAATTATGTTGAATTATTATAATTGGCAGCTGCAAATACTTTGAATCATGTAAGGAAGTAGTATTTGTTTATGTAATTGATAATGCCACTGCCATTAGAGAGAGAAAGCAGAAACTTAATCAATTGTCTGTGGTAGTCTATGGTAGCTTTTATTTCATGCAAGTTTCACAGACCATTTGCAAATATACATTTGGTGGTACATTTAGTATGTACTAGCAAAATTTTGAATTAAAATCAATCTCCTTAAATTCTTTASCATTTGATACTAGCTTTCTCTAGTTACTCTTAAAGTTTATCTTGCAACTTACAGAAAACATTAAGTTGGATTTGTTCATGAACTAAATCCATTGTTTATTAGGGGAATTTTTTTTGTACGTTGAACTGATTGGCTGCAAATACAGCTTTTAAGATAACCAGATTTTATGCTGGAGGTCAATGCTTGGTCAATTTTTTGACCCTCTACTCGCCATCACATAAAGACACAGTACAAAGTTTAAGATGTGGTCTTCGTTGTAGAATATTTAATAGAGTATTTGTACTTTCCAGTAAATGTTACCACACAGGAGAACGAATGCCACTTATTTCTCTTTGGCTATAGACTAAACTGAAAGGTTTTAGAGTGTCTGGGTAGGATGGAGCTGGAATTGAGAAAACAGCTTGGAAAGGTTCTACTTCAATAGGAAAGGCAGCAGTGATTGAAAAGTGGGTCTGTGCTGGGAGCCCAGACTACTGCCCAGATTGGTCCTCAGCTGCCTTCGCTCTGTGAAATTACTGCCAGGTCAGTTCGCAGTCGCCAGCAGGACGTCTTCTGTGCACCTGTGGTGACTCTTGTGAACACAGCCACAGATGACCCAGTATTCACTTCCTTCCCAGAATTTAATTTTTTCTCCAAAATTTCTAACACTGTCCTGCACAAATRCTTTTGCTCAGTGAATATTTGTCAGTATGGTGAAAGTGGCAGATAGTAATATCATATCAAATTACTTGAAGAGGAAAATAGCATGGTTTATATTAATTTTCAGTACTTCTCCTGTTATGCTAACTGAAATAAAATTACAGAAAACATATCTTTTGTCCAACTTTGATAGGTTTTCACAAAGCAGAACTTGACAAAAGCCTAGACTGTGTTATTTACTCTTGTCAAGAGTTCCTTCTTGTAAGTGCTACCTTGAAGAGAGAAAGCAAACAAATTTGTACCTAATTTAAAATATACAGAAGATGTTAGGTGGGTATGTTAGGAAAGATATGTTCACTGCATTCAGAATTAATCATATTAATTAGTAATAGTATTAATAACGATCTTTTCATAGCCATACCAATAATTGGTCCACATTAAGATCATAAATATTGAGAACATCCACAACAGAATGAGATTGCAAAGCGGAACAAGAAAACTGACTGATGTCTGCATTCTATCAGTCTCCAGAATGTACATACATTTTGTGTAAGATGTGGAATTTTTTTTTTATTGCTGAGGAAATATTGCTTGTCTCTCTGGCAGCAGCTTATTTAGAAGACAGATAATAAATATGCTAGAACAAATACTGAGAAAGCTGTAAATCTTCAAACTAATTTGTTGCCTTAYTCCAGTAAATCAGGAGGAAACTCATCATCCAGTTTGGGTGACATAGTTCCTAGTTCCAGAAAATCGACGCCTCCATCATCTGGTGAGTACATCACGAAGCCTTAGACGAGCATTTTGCAGAATCATGCACCTGATCTGTTAGAATTTATATTACCTTTAGTTGTATTTTTCTTCTGTTCTTCATAGGCATAAGGGAGGGTGGTTTTCTTGTGGTTTGAGGTGGGTAAGGTTGGAAGTAATGGAATTAATGCCAGCTAGTGCACGCAGTCCCAGGGCTGTTAGCAGTCTTCCCACTGCCCTCCTTGTTTTCACCATGGTGTTTTATGTGAAGACGTAGAAAAGCAGTGAGTCTGTCTTGCAGTGAGGTAGTTAGAGGCTTGGCCTGAGCACTCTTGATGAATAAAAAGTGCCTTCTGGTTTAGCAGAAACAGCAGCAATAGCAGAATAGGAATTTCTGGGAGGTTTCTGCAGTAGCACCAGGAGCTGCATTGTTTTATAACAGCAACTTCGCGTGCTTCACATAATTTTAGCATTATGTGCTAAAAATTTCTTTTTAGTTGGATTTTCTTTTTAGTTGTTATTGCAGGGTTGTTTTGTTTGGTTTGGTTTTTCTTAAGAAATACTGATTTGTATTCAGAGCATCCACAGACACAGATTTTTAGCTTTGGCTGGGTTAGATTTAAGAGGTGAGAAGCGAATACACTGTGAGTTGAAATAGGACATTAGCATTAGTTGTTTGGTTAAATGAAACCAACTTTCCGATAAAATCGGAATTATAATAGTTCTACTTCAGTTCCTGTCATTTTATTTGGAAAATATATTTTTCATTTATTCATATGTCTCTAGATYCAGTACAAAACTGTGGAGCTTTAATCTTTTTTGTATGACCTTAATGTACCTTTTACATGTGTTATTTACTGTTAAGTCCTGTGTAAGACYCCTATTTCAGTCACTGCAATTTCCCAGTAGAAGACACCCATGGAACCATTAGAATTTCATAGAGATTTCATAAATGAGTTTCTATAATACTGTAATACTCTTCATTTGTAAAAATCCAGTTCTATAGCAGAATAACTCATACATGTGAAATTTTACAGAATTTTAGAGGTAAGACAATCGACCAATTGACTAGTTTTAGATGTAACGCAAAGATAAGCCTATATGCTTGGCAAGAACACGTTTGTTTATCAATATATACTAGTGATGCTGCAGATTTCCTTGAATTGAGTTGTTTCTTTCAGTATTGGTTTGCAAAAGCGTGATTTCCTGGAGATTAACATACTGTTATTGTTCAGTTATGTGGAAGTTTTGCAAAATACTTAGGATTAGTGCATTTTAGTTTATTGTATGATTGTAAAATTTTTGCTTAGTGGATTCTTCTTTTTATGTCTTAAAACATGCCAAGAAGARTAACTGGGTGAATGGGTTGTAATTTGTTACTAGTTTGTGCCTGTGAATGCAGGCTTGCCTCACTTAYAAGTAGAGATCAGTTCTGACCTGCAGCATTTCTGCTATTCCCAGCCTTTCCCCTTGGGAAAGCATAGTAAATAGTAAATACATCAATTGTTTGATAAACTGAATAGGTATGAACTTGAGTAAGTCAACTTCCTTTTTTTGACTTTGAGCCTGGGATTTCTTTTTTTCAACAAGATCTAACAAGATGGAGAATTGCTAAAAAATGAACGGAGACACTGTGTCCTTAAAGTTGTTTGTAATAATCAATCCAGACAGTCCTCATGAACCATCAAACAGAACAAGGATTGTAGGAAAAATGTCTTGGGGGTGGGAGGGAAAAACACTGTAATAACTAAAAGGCAATTACAGAAGATACTATGTAATGAGAAGAATTAGAATGAAAAAAGAGACAGGAAGGATGCAAAAAATCTCAAAATGACAAATATCAACCAAGAAAGTTTTTCTTTTCACTTACAATATATCAATACAATATAAACTAAAATAATAACAAGTATCAAAACAGTATTTGAAAAGTTTTATTCTCTGAAAATAGACACTTTCCTGGATGAGCATGAGATTTTGGAGATTTCAGACTATAATTTCATCCATATTTGGCAGTGTTTCTTCTTTTTTTGACATTGAAAGGGACTTTCATGATGTTTCTAAGTTGGACATGTTTTATTGCAGTTGCTTCTGCAATAATGATAGTATATTGAACTATATGGTGTCTAGCTGATCAAATGCTGCTTTTTTATTTTACAGGAAAATTTAACAATTCCCATTTTCTTTGCAGCTGGTTTTAGTTGAACATAGAATCAAAGAAGCCTTAATATACCTTATTATGGGTAATTTGTAAAGTATCTGTGCCAGGCTATATTCAGCAAAGGATAATATGTTCTTTTTATTCTTATAAAGAAGATGAAGGATCTGTGTTGTTAGAAGAAAACGTTACATGTTTTCTATGGCTGTTTTTAGGAGCAGGAATATAGAATCAGGGGGTGGAACTGTTCATGTTCTTTCCTGGCAAGGTCAACTTAAAATGAGCATTCTGGGACTAAACTCTTGTTTCGAATCATAGAATTACACTTGTAGACAAATGAAATGGGAAAATACACATTAYGCAAACAGAAGGGACAGTGTCCCAAGCCACCACTCAATCAGTAGTTGCACGTAGGCTTGTGACACCCATATGTATATGTTGCATAATTTATTAGCACATGCTGTGGAATTCACTGACGTCCCACCCATCAAGCAGCTGAAAGCAGGTCACTCCGGTGGTTTCATAATAGTTTGTCATGATTGATTATGGTTTTAGATAAAGTCCGTGCACATCATGCTACTTGCAGTTCTCTGGAGTTGGTTCAGGGTGGTGGTTTGCCAAGATAGAGATAAGCTTGTGTTGTTGGTGCATGTCATGTAATGGGTAAGACCTTTATGCCCTAGGGAGATGCTGTACAGCAAGGTGGCAGATCGCTCTTGTGCACATAGTTGTTGCCATGGTAGGATAATCTTTGAAGATAGATTTAATACTGTAGTTAAGATCAAGGTTGACTGTTAATGGAAAATGCTCCCGGAAGAGTCTCAGCTTAGTTAAGATCAAGGTTGACTGTTCATCGAAAATGCTCCTGGAAGAACCTCAGCCTTCGTTTCAGATGTAGCGGGTATCTGATGGACTTTACCATAAGTATGACGTGACTTTGTGTTTTGGAAATAAATTTGTCTCCAAGTCCATGATGATTTTTCCTTATACTGTCACTATTTTGACTTGGTAAAGAAAATGTTTATGGTGCAAGCTTTGTGTGCTGTACATGACTTTCTTTTGGTAATGGTGATGGTGAAGAGCAATGGTTTAGGGTGTTTGCTTCCCCTTTGCCCTGCCTGCATCCTCATGCCCTTTACAACAGAATTCAGGTCTCTGTGATACCTGAGGTAAATATTCCCYTTTCTAGTACCCCTTCTTTATAGTTTTCACTATCAGTAGGTCTGTTCATATTATTTCAAATAAACCTATCTTATGCCTACTCTGCATTTTCAGGTGAAATAGTTTAAAGCCAATTGTAATCTGCCCTAAGATAAATGTAGATATCACGCAACCAATCTTCAGTGATTTTTAGCTCCCAATGTGGTTCTTTTTCTGTTTTTATTTCATTTTGTTTTGCTATTGTTTCTTTTTTAATTTTCTAAAGATGCACTACTGACATTGCAGATTTCTGTTGATGATACAGCTTTTTAATTACTACTCATTGCTATTAAATAATTCATATTTAGTTGGCCTAATTATGTTGTTCTACATTGATGAATGTCTTGAGTACTCCAGCAAAGTAACTTTAGATTTAAACTAGTATAACAAAAAGAACTTTGCCACTGATCTGTTCTGTAAGAGTTATTCTGTGTAKGTTTCATTTATTCCATAAAAGAAGATCAGAGGAAAATGTTACAGGAGCTGTTACAGGCTTWTATTTTCTAATCCTAATGTACTACACCTTAAATTTTTTCCCCTTGTTTTATTGTGTTTTATACTCATGGTTGGATTTTTATTTTTATTTTTTTTTACTTTGGATGACTTTATTTTCTTTACTTTTTTTTTTTTAACTTATTTTTTTACTTCCGCTGTCATCTGATAATTCTGAATTGTTTGTCTGTATATAGCTATAGACATAGATGCCACTGGCTTAGATGCAGAAGAAAATGATATTCCAGCAAACCATCGCTCCCCCAAACCCAGTGCAAACAGTGTAACATCACCCCACTCCAAAGAGAAAAGAATGCCCTTCTTTAAGAAGGTAACACCAACTTCCGAGCTCCCATCTGTCCACCTGCTCACCTGCACTGCGTCACATTTCTAGTCCTGTTAACTGTCTGCGTCCTTTGACAAGCCAATAACATGCATGCTTTGTTATTCTTTGTTTCTTTTCCATGCTGCTGTAGCTAAGCAGAAGCAGAAATCGGTAAGTTTATATTGACATTACCTGTGTTTATCCCGCCACTGGCATCATTAGCACTATACCCTAGACCAGCAGTGCAGCTGCTTTAGAATTAAGGAAGAAATGTATCAAGCTGTTAGTGGATCCTCTACACCAAACCAAACAGAGCCTGGTACAGTACCTTCCAGAAACTCTGCCACAGTACTTATCCTTTTTGATGGAATAGTAGGACACGCTTAGAATGTCTTCTACACATTTGAGGAATTGATTTCTAACAAAGCCCTGCAGTGCACCTCTCTAGTGCATGCATATTCCTTCCATCCCCGTCTTTCTGAAGTTTCTTTGTTTATAATTTAGTCTGTGGGCATCGTCACTGGACCTAATCAGATACTCGGATTGTACTTAAAAAACAAAATAGTCAAAACCCTTGAATTTTTAATGTAGTCAGTATTTAAGCTTCTAATTCACTTAGGTGCAAAATCTGCAGATGAGCAAGACCAGTGGAAAACTGGAGGCTTGTTTTGGTAGTTTACTGTGAGTTTCTGTTGTTGTCATGTATAAATTATCAGGCAAATGTTCTTGCCTTCCTTTCCGTCAGTCAGATTTTTGTAGTGCCTCAGCTACAAGGTCCTGATGGTTCCCAGGGGAGTCARTGTCTCTCCATACATCACCCGGAACACTACAATGGCTATTATGCTATTGGCAACCTTTTCACCTTAAAGTGCAGTATGTTTCTAGGATCTGTGCTGGAGTTTGTTATCAAGTAGCTAGCACCCAAACTATGAAGCCAAATCACCCATTTCTACTCTAACTTCTCTTACCTTTTTCTCCATACCTTTTCTTCATTTGTTGGTTAGTTCARTTGCAGCTACCAGTAACATCAGACTCTTGCACTACTCATAAATGATGCCAGATGACACTGTTGCCAGTGCTGAGGATGCACCCATGTTGAGTAGAATAAAATGTTTTCCTTTCCTCTTCCTGTCTTGCACTCTAATAATATTGGGTCCTTCTCACTTCCAAAGTCATCAGTGTTTGCTTCAGTAAGCTCCGTTGAATAAAATATGTCATATATAACCCACAATAGAATTCAGTAGTAGTTTCTTGCTACTAAATGATCTCTTCATTAATCATATTTATAATCAAATATAAATGCTAAGGAAGAGAAACACATGTTGATCTGTACCAGACCCTATCTGCATAAACCTCTTTAGAAGATTTAACTTCTAGATTTAGCATCTTGCTGCTAGATGGCGGCTAATTGCACAAATCTCTCCAGTTTTTGATGCTTACATTCCTCCTTATCAGGATCACTACAAGTTACAGTGTTCTTTGCAGCACAGGTATTTGTACTCAAAACTGGATGGCTGTCCCAACTAATTCTACATAGCCAAACCACTGAACAAACAGCATATGGTCTGGACTATGATATATTTTTTTCTGGCTCATATTTGACCTTGAATCTGCAAGTGAAAGCTGTGGAGCTCAGTGCCAGCCCCTTAAAATACTAGGATCTCTAAAGATAAATTTAAAAACTCAGATGCCTTCATTAGGTAATTTTCCATCATTTCTTTGCTCACAACTTCTTTAGCTCCAACCTGTAAAGATTTTGAAAAAAGTATGCCTGTTTCTACAGGAGAGGTTTTAGAAAGACTCCATATTCCATCAAATAAGGAAATTTCTGTGTTTTGCCCCAAACTTCCAGCATGGACATCTTCAGCTGAGTCTGCTGCATTAAAACAGAGGCCTGTTGCATCAGGGCTTCCATGCTGTGAGCACTTACCTGTCATAGATTTTCTTAAGGGCCCTCGCTAGTACGTTTATCAGGACAGTGGCGAATTCGTCAGGAGCAGCGGAGCGAGGCCTTTGGGTGCTGACCCAGCGCCACTTTGACTGTGAAATGCTTTGAGTGAGGTTCTTTTCACATGTTTCTGATGCCTTCAGCACTACTATTCATTCTTATGTTGCTAATTATCTGGTGAAGCTACAAGTAACAACAACAAAAAAAAGGATAAATTACATTTTAAAATATTCACAACCGTGTTTTCTGTGTATTAGACTGCTTTAGACTGCTGCTTGTGTAGCATTTTGTGCTGTCACTGTATTAATGTTTGTCTGTGTGTTTTGTAATGTGTGTATTTATTTTAACTTTCTTATTGTGAAATATCTTGGGATATTTTTGAGAACCAAGACAATGAACAACGACTATGTTCTGTGATCTTGACTGATGTATTTGTACTATGCAGACATTTGAAAAACATACCTGGCAGAACTCCTTCCCATATCTTTGCTAGGTTGCTGAATATCCTTAAGAAAAAGATAAACCAAACCTTTTTTTCCTAACAAAAACTTTTTTTTGACAACATTAATATTTCTTGGTGATATATCGGAAATAGGAAAAAATGGATTTTTTTTTTCTAACTAAAGAAAAAAAACCCAAAACTTTGATTCTTTTTTAATTTATTTCAGTAACAGTATAACAATTTTGGCAATCTTTGGACATATCCAATCTTTTATCTTTGTATTTTTCCCATGAATTGTGCAAGATACATCAGTAAGTAGATTAGTGACTATCGTACTYACGTAATGCATCTTTCGGTGGCAACAGGAGCTTCTGAAAATGGAAGCTCTGCTATCCCAAGTTCTCTTTATGAAAATTTTCTGTAAATACTAACTTGCTCAGACATTATTTTGATTTCATTTGCGAGTGAATTGTGAATGTGGAAGTTAGATTATGGGTGCTCCCATGGGAATTTGCAGTGGTGTCACAGTGTTTTATAAAGCACTAGGCAGATCTGAATATAAAAAGAGAATGGTTTGGGTTTTTGCCTCTCATTTAGTTTTGTTTTTCTCTTTTGTAATTTGCCTACATAGAAAAYGATGGGAAACATGTCACAGCTCCATAGTCAATTGTATCAAATCATATACTTTTTGAAATGACCTTTTAAATTAACTAGTTAAGAGTTTTGGGGTGGGAAATGAGAACGATCTCCAGAATTACAGATTTTTTGGCCTCACTGAGCAAACATGAATGCAGATATGAAAGTAGAGAACAAATAAAAGTTTTGTCAAAAGAAATCCCCAAACCTGTAATTTCCAGGTTATTTTGGATTACCACTTTCCAGGAAAAGTTAAGGAATTTGTGATTACTCTATTGGTGACATCACTGGAAATTCAAAACTCTTCATGTTTTAATTAATGTGTTAGAACCTCTCTAGGCACTGGGTTTCTGAAAGGTTTCTTCTGCTTTGCAGACAGAGCACATCCCTCCCTATGATGTAGTGCCTTCTATGCGACCAGTAGTTTTAGTGGGGCCTTCTCTGAAGGGATATGAGGTAAGCAATCATGGTACACATTTTTATTTGGCCAAAAAACAAGTGTTTTGGCTTCAATTGTATTTTCATGTTGAGGCAATCAAGCTGAAAAATAATGTCACAGACAAAAGCAGAGATGTTTTATACAGAATTTTATGTCAGGAATAAAATTATTTACTTTGCTGCCATATTGTTCAGTTTTAAGATTTCTATCAACTTGAAACAATCATTTTTTTTCTAATTTATTACCATCAAGTGTTATTGATYTCTTGTGTGATTATTAATTTATTGCTTGTTTGCTTTTAGGTAACAGATATGATGCAAAAAGCATTGTTTGATTTTTTAAAACATAGATTTGAAGGGCGGTAAGTACACTGTTATGCATTTTTTTTTTTTGAATTCAGTTCTTATTTTGGTAATAATGATATTCTTAGCAAAATACCATAGAGTATTAGCARCATCAGGTAATGTGTCTTGCTTAATGGACTGTAGTATAGATTGGAAGTTTCTTTATCGGAGCGCACGGATGCTGTGTTGCAATGCAGAATCTTAAGGAACTTGATACAATTTAAGTAGAAAAAGGGATATTGTCTTGTTGCTGGCTGTGATATTCAGTTGCCAAATTGCTAGGTATTTATTTGCAGATTAATTAAATGTGAACAGGAATAAAGATTCTGTTATTTAAATGTTGCATAAATAGTATTTCATTAGAATTCTTTGTATTTTTTTACAAGGTAACAAGAGCCATATTTCCATCTCAGCTTCAGTAATTTACAATAGTAACTTAATAAAAATAGAAGCAGCAAGTCTCAATGGGGCAGCTGAGGGGTTTCAGTTTGTTTTTCCCCTCTCACTCAAGGACAGTAGCCCTTGATAATAGATAGGCTGTGACTTTGTGGTTGTCCTTGCAGCATAAAAGATAGTGTAAATATGGCCCCATTTTCTTTAACATGCTGGAATCCACTTCCAATCTGATTTATGTTTGAGTCTCCTGGCACTACTGTACCATTTTGAATGGTAATGCACCTCTATAAGCAGTGGGATATGATGTTGTTTAAACGGCAAGTACTCGTGGACCAGAGACAGCAAGTGGGTTCTCCACATGTTTTTGAATGGTTACTGGATCAGTCCCCAGGTTAATGTGTACTAGCAGGTTGGCATTTGGAAAAATAAAAACTGTTTAGAACTGGAAAGTCATGTTACTGTATTTGTAACTGATTAATGCTTTTTACCTTGGAAACGGGCATAGCTGTAGCACAATAGGAATCTGATAGATGGGAACTGGTCCTAGTGTCTTCAGAGTTTCAAGAGAGATGACTTAATGTTTTCTATCAGTCACTCCAGCTCTTTAAAATACCAGTTGCTGATTAAACTTCAGGATTTTCCCAGCCAAAATTATAATGATACCGGAGTCCTAGCCACTTATTAGTCCCGGGATGGCAAATCTTATATATGTGCTTTCAGAGCTAGAAGTTTACAAAATGGTGAGTGTTGCAGGGATACAAAAGTTACTGCATCTTTGTCTTCAAGTGTTTTTAAATTAGTGTGTAGCTAAATTTACAGTTGTGTTTGGATGAGTCCACACATACTCTGCAAAACCCTGTTATATGGATCTCTATAGCAGCTGATGATGATGATCGTAAGCTTCATTAGCAATCTGAACAGGTACTCAAGGTTCTCAGCGCATTTGGGATCTTACATTTGTGCTACACTCACACTGTTATTACCTGTGCTGCCTGCTGCCTAACAAAGATCAGCTTTGCCCTCCAAAATTGCAGTTGTTTTGCAATACGAACCTATTTATCCATAGAACTGCCTTTTTTGAGAGCAGATTTGCTCTTCCTTGTGTCTTAAGAGACTTTAAATGAAATTAAAAAAAAACTAAAAGTTCTTCATACTAAAAAATATTCTTTTAATATGGTAAATCTGGCTTCATTCAATATTGCATAATGGCATTTGGAAAAAAAAATGAATCTTTTTCTCTATCGTGTAAGAAGTTAATTTGCAGGAAAAAAAATGGAAAGCTTGTATTGCTCATCTATGACTAGATAAAGATAAATAATGAGTATCCCAAATTATATGTTGGATTTTATTTTAAGACTGTATAGAATTATCTTGGAGGAGCTCTGCCAGAAATCATAGTACTTGGTTATGTTTTTAGCTTAGGTCAGACCGTGCTTACATTTCAAAATTATGTTACTAATCTGTACTGTGCACGTAATTCTGTTTTTCTTTATTCAGTTCTGGATTTGTTGCATTTTATAGGATTTTAGATAAATATATACACATGTTGAGCTCACTAGGAGAAGAGATATTTGGTTACATTTCAGATGAGCAGCATCTGGCAGCTCTTCCTAGAAAGGAGCTCTCCTTGTTAGCAAAACTATTTCCTCCTTTTAAATTGCAAACAAAATCATACAAAGAAGAACAAGGGATGCCATCAGGCTGATTTAACTCTCAGCACTGGAAAAAGGTGACCTTTAAACCTCATTAAGGAGAAAGTTGGAAGAGGAACTTAGCCGAAGGGTATGCTTTGACCCTGGAAAGGAAAACCAACTGAGCTAACTGCTTTGCTAGGAAGAAGAATACACAGAAGGTTATGTAGCAGGCCAGAGCAGACAGCTGGAAGTAAGCACTTACTTCTTGGCTCATCTTTTTCTCATAAAAACAAAACTGATTGTACCAGATACTCAGCCCAGAGATTTCATTTTCTTCATTCCTGTATTTGCTTCTCTGTGTTACAGGCCACATTTTCAGGTGGCCAGTGTATCGCTGGATCTTTCTGGACAAATGTAACAGAGCTCATGCACTCTGCTGAAGAGCTTAGGGTTGTAAAATCAACCGTGAAAATAAGAGTTACGTGGCAGTACTACTTTGGGTGTTAAGCCTTACCTTCACTGTCGACATTGTGCATCTCATAATGTTTGTTCTAAATACAGCTAAAATAAGTCATGTTGTCATTGAATACTTTGGAAAATAATAATAATAATAATAATGCATAAAAGCATAAAAATAAAAATAAAAAAGCATAAAAATAAAATAATAAAAATAAGAGAAAGAAGAATTTAGCCCAACTCTTTTACTCACTTTGTGCAAAGCGTAATTTGCCACTGGGAACTTATTTTCCCATTGTCCTAGCTATCATTTCGTATTAGGTGTTTCTCTTTTCTCCCCGTCTCCTGGCATGGTAAATAACATTCTCTTCTATTTTATTGTTTCAGTATATCAATTACACGAGTCACAGCAGACATCTCGCTTGCCAAACGCTCAGTATTAAACAACCCTAGTAAGCATGCGATAATAGAGCGATCTAACACAAGATCAAGCTTAGGTAAGTACATTTAATGATGATACCTCCAAATCCTCTGTAGAAAGTACATTGCTCTCAATTCACACCTGTAACCTAAAAATAGCCTTCTCTCTGCTATGAGAAAATCACGATTCCCATAATTCAGAAAACCTGACAATAGAAGCCGTTTTAGCCATTTTTAAATCATTACCAGATGAACTTCCTATAATGTTGATTTTGGCTTAGCTGGCTTAAGTTTTCATATTTTGCGGTGGGAAGAGATAGCAAAGGCAAATAAAAATCTGAGGAGATGTTCCTCTGCTTAAGTAAAAAATAAGATTTCAGTGTACCTCAAATTGTATGAATTGTTTAAGAACAATAGAATATTATCTCTGATATTACTGATTTCATTTCTTATCTCCTCAAAATAAACACAAAAAGACTTTGAGGTCACCATCCATGTGGATTGAATTTGGCATTTTCTCTAGCATGAGGTGAATTTTATCTGGGCTCCTCACAGGGTATTGTGCCAGTGCCATTAGCTGAAGTTTTCCAGGATGCATCCTGCCAGTGTTTGCAGACTCAGGTTGGGGCACTCAACTGAGACACAGGACACGCAAGTTCAAGTCCTTGCACCAAAAAAGAAAAAAGAGAAACTTGAACCCAAAATTCTAAATCATAGGTGAATGCTCCAACCAGGGCTTTGGTATTACAAGAATGTTTATTTCTCTGAGAAGCTTTTGTGAGACCTTGATTTGATCTTGACTCAGGAATATTCATTTTGAAATCTGGGGAACAGGAAAACAGTCTCATTCATCCTAGTTGAAGGTCTTTATTTATATAATTTTTGTTTATAATGAAGCTAGTGAATAACTTTGTACTTCCACTGGGTATTTAATATTTGGGTAAAGTAGTTGTCAGCCTAAGAATGTTCCACTCTTAACGTTAAAAAGATTGACTGAATACTTGCTTCTGAAAATCTTTGTTTTCGCTTCTTAAAAGCCTTCTTTTCAGCTATATGGAGAATGTGAGTCTTTGCTAAAAGCAATCTGATGAGTTCCATATAGGTCTTGGATTGACCTTTTTCATATGTTAGAATGTAATGTACTGTAAGATAAAAATGTAAATTTTTATACAAAAGTTATTCTTCTGTGTGAATTTCCCTCTTGTGGCCAAAGTCAGTTTAATAATCTAGAGGAAAAGATCAAATATTATTGTCTAGAATTGAAAATTGATAATGAAGATGAAGGTTACCCAGTCATGGAACATAAACAGACCCATGATGATTAATTTCCCATCCAGAACATCAAAGCAAGAGGTTACAGTACTGTACAAATATATACAGCAGAAGAAAGTATCATCTGTTCCTTATGCTGAAATATTTTCTTACATGCAAAACAACTGTCACAAAAATATATAGAGAGGGAAAAAAATCTATAAAATAAATTCAGCCCAGTTGTTTATAGAAACAAGTCATCATCTTTTCGCTGTGAATTGTTCACTTGAATCTCATGGAAACTTGGCCTTTCACACAGCAATGCCTTTTCTTTGGTCAAGGTTTTTGGGTGTTCTTTTTTTTTTTTTTTTTTTTTNTTTTTTTTTTTTTTTTTTTTTTTTTTTTTTTTTTTTTTGATGAAGCTATTTAAAATGAGCATGCCAACAGAGCCTCAATTGGAGACATTGAGAAAAAGAAAGTGTTTATTTGAGTACATAAATATGAGTATATACCCATTATAGCTGAGGACTTTTACTAGTTTTACATGAAATTTCTTGTTCAAGAAAAGACCTTTTTATAGGTTGTTTTTTTCAAAGCTCTAATACTCCCATGGTCCTTATGTTCTAGCAGGGTTTTGGAATGTGGTAGTGAGCTGAATGGCCTTGAATTATGCACTTTTTGAGTTTTTATGAAAACAGAAAGCCTAAGCAAATTATTATAAGCCATACTATAAGTTGCAGTTAAAATGTTGAACTCTATACCTGAATTTCTTAAAAAATCTGCTTTCCATTAATGTTGCTGAGCAGAACTTGCCTGCAGCASTTTGGATGGAGTAACTAGAAAGTTAGTGCTTATCTTCCATCCTTTAATCCATACTTCCTTGTGCAGTATGAAGTAAGAAGGTGTTTATTTTAAAGATGCTCAACTGGAGAAGTAGATGGAGGAAAAGGGARAGGAAGGAAAAGGGGCAGGAGTTAAAAAATAAAAAAATAAATTAAAAAAAAAAAAGGCATTATGGAGGAGCACCTGGGAAAGCCGAACAGATGGAGGAGCACCTCGAGGCTCTGCACTCCAGACTGAGAGTGAGACAAAAAGCTACCTATTCCTGTTTCCTATAARGAAATCAGGGAGGAAAATGAGATAGGAGCAGGAGTTTGGATATAAAACCTCACAGAATCTGTGAGGCAGAAAARGGAACTTGGTTAGGTATGGAGTCTGGAAAACCCTGTGCAAAAGTAAAAGAAAGAAAATCCAAGGAGCATTTGAGTCTATTCCCATGCAGAGCTGGGATGCATCTCAAGGTAGCAGTAGAGGCAGAATCAAAAATCAGATTCAGAATCACCCTGGCCTGCTGGTAGGTGTCATCTCCTAGCACTGCTTTCACAAATCAGATGACAACATAGTGCTGCTGCTGTGAGATCTCCATGGGCTTACGTAGCAGAGGTAAGAGGCAATAGCAGACCCCATAGCAACATTTTTTTACTGAATTGTGTGAGCAATTTGCTGTATTCTTGAGTCAACAAAGGTTCTGCTAAAAGAATATTGTTAGGATTGCAAACTGAAGTTGTGCGATATAAATATTAGAAAACAACAGAATAAAGGTTAACAGTGGGAAGTATTCAGTACCTCAGCTGATGTACTTTGTGATTCAGTCTTTGATTAGGTGTTTATAGACTGTTTTACTGCTAGTCATCTGGTTCAGTGTGCTTTTTTGCAAAATGGACCTACTTGTGATGCAATTGGAATTGCTCAGTAAAGGAGGTCAGTGTCTGTTTTGCATGTTAAAAATAGTATATATTGTGTGAGGCAAGAGTTTTGAAGAAGGCAAAAAAAAAGAGCGCAATATGAGATTTTCAGTTCAGCTTTTTTTGGCAGAAAAAATGAAATTCATGAAATTTTTTGTTGCATGGCATGCATGTGGTTTATATAAAGTATGCATGTATGCATGTATAAAGTATGCATGTATAAAGTATGCATGGCTGCAGCTGAGATTTCGGACTTTGAACCTGTTAAATGCTGCATATAGATGTTCTGACTGTATGTTTTCCTGTCAAATAATAATAGTTAATCAAAATTGTCATGTTGCATGCAAAGCAATGTTTTTGAGGGTGCAGGTAGAAAAGCAGCAGTTTAGGCTATTGGAGCTAATGCTAGATCCATTTTTCAAGTTTATGGGTTTTCATTTGCAGAATTCCCCTCCTCTTAGACTCTCCTCCTCTTGTCATTTAACTGAGGAAATTTTCTTTTCCTTCCCAAAGTAGATCAAAGAATTTTCCTCTTCTCCCAGGACGGTACTGTCACCACATGCTGATAGTACACAGAAGCATCAGGAATGTACTGAGTCATAAGACTAACTTCTAAAATGCTTCAAGGTTACCTTCCATTTTGGAAGGAGCAGAATCCCAAGGACCCAGAACTTCCTGTAAATTGACTGCTGATTTCCTAGTCTGAAAATAATTTTTATTATAGCACTTACTCTGAAAAATCAGGCCCTACATTTATGAAAATTAACACTGCAAATTAGTGATTATTGCCTAGGTGGTTCAGTTTTCTATATCGAAAATAAAAATAATTTAAGATTCTTACCTAAGTGAAACATTATCTTATTGGAGCACTATTATACCAATACAGTGAGTTTCAGGGGGAAAAAATCCTCAAAAAAAAATCATTTTTTTCTCAGAGTTTGAAACAATGTGCTGTAAATGAGCCATGAACCATATATTTGACAATGAAAAGCATATATATGATTCAGTGGCTGTTTTTATGCAGACAGTGCATGGAGCTATGCGCTGATGGAGGCAGCRGGCCTACAGAAACACTGTTGCTGTGTGTTCCTGAGAAGAGTGTCTCAAAATACAAACCCCAAAAGATTTGATTTACAACAGCTATCATTCTGCCTTGGCATTTTCTAATGTCTAAGCATGAGCTTTGCAGACAAATAATACTTTCCTTTAATACGTTGCAGTCATAGATGCATCATTRAATAGGGACTCTGGCTACCTGGTGTTTTTGCAGTACCTGCTGCAGGTCTGATAGCAGGCCCTTCTGTGATGAAGTTTTCTCACTTATAAAATAAGAGCAACAGGACATATTTTCCAAATTACTGCAAAGAAAAGTCAGAATTCCAGCAGTCACTAAAACTATTGCTTCTTTTTCTCCAGTTTATCTACAGGACTTAGTTCTGATCCTGATGTAAAGAAATAGTATTTATCACACATAGAATATTTTGAATTAAAAAAAAATCTTCTCCTTTTTTTTCTTTTACCCTTGAAATGATAAAATTGCCATCACTGTACACTGGGTGCTTTTTTTTTTTCTCCTTTTGTTTTTTTCTTCTTTTTTTAAAAACAGTTTGATACAAATATGTTCAGTTTACCCTTAAGTTTTAATACTTCTTTACAAGCATATCTTTAACCCAGAAAGCTTTATTATGGACATATCGGTGGGATCATTCTGAGCTAAATGCAGTTTTAGGAAAAACAAAACTATTTATAAATTATAGTGAATTTTGACGAGTAGATTCAGCCAGAGCAAGAAATTAAGCAATGGTTCTTTATTTTATTGAGTACAGTTCCCCAGGTTTATGTTAATTGGAATCACTCTGTCTTTCTGTGTTCAATGAAGAGTCATTCCTTTATCCTTCTCCTTTTGTCTGTATTTTTGTGAAATATCTAGACAGTCCTAACTGACTTGATTCATGCCTAAATTATGCTCACTTTTGTAAGCAGCAGTTCTATCTGCAGCAGAGAAGGCTATTTCTTAGACCATTGAAAATATGTCCTTTGTGTTGTATATCTGTGTGAGTATGATTTTAATAAGTGGCCCT